GTCCCAGAAAGCAGGCTGCTGTTTACTTGAACATTACACAAAGTCACAGAAAAGAGAGCTCTGAGAAGTTAGAAGAGCCTTCCTGGACTCATTCTAAAATGTATGGAGAAGTAATCTCACATAAAAATAAACCATAGAAAAGTATTAAGGTCAAGTTCCATACAAAGTTTTATGAGAAACAAGAGAATAAGGAGTAGAATAATATCTCTACAGACAAAGCACATTAGAAAGACATGACTACAAAATAGGTCAAAACTATAATCTACTATTTCAAAATAAGAGGCTGAGCACGGTGGCTCACACCTATATTCCTCAGCAGTTTGGGAGGCCAAGGTGGGAGGATCGCTTGAGCCCAGGAGTTTGAGACCAGCCTGGGTCCCACATGGTGAGATCTTGTCTCTACAAAAAATTTTAAAAATTAGCTGAGCATGGTGGCACACGTCTGTAGTCCCAGCTGCTCCAGTGGCTGAGGTGGGATGGCTTGAGCCCAGGAGGTCAACACTGAAGTGAGCTGAGATTGTGCCACTGCACTCCAGCCCAGACAACAGAGTGAGACCATGTCTTCAAAAAAAAAAAAAAAAAGCAATATGAAGTGTCAAAGAATCTGGTAAATCAGGAGTAGAAATGACAGACTCAGGAAATAATTAGAAAGCAAATAAAAATCATTTTAGATATGAATAAATCAGAAGAAACATTTGAGTAGATAAACAGAACATTTAATGCCTTAAGAAAATAGTAGTCAAAAAGGAAAATTTTTTTTGAAATCAAGAAGAAATGAAGACAGATAATAAAGGAGTGAAGAAAAATGACAAATACTGTTGACAGGCAAAAAGATTGATTAGATGATAAAAGAGCAGATACTATATTAGTTATTTATTGCTGTGTAACAAATTACCCAAAGCTTAGCAACTTCAAGACAACAAACATTTTTTATCTCACAATTTATGCGGGTCAGGAATCAGCTGCTTTTTTGATTGGCACAGGGTCTCTCATGAGGTTGCAGCTGAGCTGTTGGGTGGGGTTCTTGTCATCTCAACACAAGACTGGGGCTTCAGGGCCTGCTTCTAAGCTCACTCACGTGGTTGTAAGCAGATACCAGCTTTTTACCACCAGGGCCTCTCCATAGGGCTATTTCCGACTTAGCAACCTGTTTCTCCGAAGTGAGTGATGCAAGATGGAGGCCATGGTTCTTTATAATCTAACCTCAGAAGGTGACTTAGTATCACCTCTGCCATACCATATGCTGTTGATCATACAGACCAGCTGGGAGGGAACTGTAAGGGTATGAATACCAGCAGGCAGGGATCCTGGGGGGCCACCCTTGAATGTATAGATAAATACATCTATATTTCCCGAGAACTCTTCTGAAATAGAAATAAAAGATTTGAGGCTGGGCGCGGTGGCTCAAGCCTGCAATCCCAGCACTTTGGGAGGCCGAGACGGGCGGATCACGAGGTCAGGAGATCGAGACCATCCTGACTAACATGGTGAAACCCCGTCTCCACTAAAAAATACAAAAAACTAGCCGGGTGAGGTGGCGGGCACCTGTAGTCCCAGCTACTCCGGAGGCTGAGGCAGGAGAATGGCGCAAACCCGGGAGGCGGAGCTTGCAGTGAACTGAGATTCGGCCACTGCACTCCAGCCTGGGCGACAGAGCGAGACTCCGTCTCAAAAAAAAAAAAAAAGAAAAGATTTGAAACCATGTGCACATCTGAAAATATCCAGCTAGAACAACCAACACTAAGCCATCGGCTAATAAAATGTTTGGATTTACAAAAAAGGGAAAAGATCCATTAGACATGTAGAAACAAAGACCCTGAGACTTATAAGGGAAGGATTAGATTTCCTTCAGACTTTTCAGTAACAGCACTTTGTGCCAGAGAGAGATAGAGTTCACTGAAAGAAAGAAAGTTGAGTTAAAGATTTTATAATCAGCAAAACTGACTTATAAATGTGAAGGGAGCAAATTGTTCTCATTATGCAAGAATTCAGGAAATACTCTTCCCATGGTCCCTTTCTGTGGAATCTACTAGAAACAAGCTTCAGACAACTAAAATGAGAGACAGCAAAATATGGAGTGGGGGTGAGCATGAAATATTCAGTTAGACGAAGAACTGGGACTAATTGAGGGCTAAGGAGAATGAATTTGTTACATAAGGACTGTATGATCTGACAGTGTAGATATAGTACAATCATTTGAAAAATGGGAGGCAAATGGCAAGAGCATATGCAAAAAAGTTTTAATGTTTGTAGTAACTGTATTAGTAGAACTAGTATTAGTATTCTGAGACTGTTAGGTGTGTAGCGTAATATAAAAACAGATGAGTAATTGTGGGATATTTTAATTCTAATGCCCTCTCTTTGAGAACCAAGATTCTTGGTGTGGGAAGAAACACAATAAAAGTGTAAGAGAAAAGAGGTTGAATTTAACTTGGAAGTGTCAGTTGTAAAAACTGAAAGGTCTGAGATTTTACCCTACTTGCACGCTGACAAGGTAGCCTGCTGCTGTTTCATGGGTCAGCAGTGAAGGACAGTTTATTACTCAGGGTTATTGCAATAGCCAGAGTATCAGCATTTTTGTGCCAGTTCCCTGAGCCCAGAGTCCCACAGGGCAACAACGAAGAAGACCAGATGATACCTGCCCACACGGTAGGTTGCATTATAGGAGAAGAGCACTGAACTTAAGGAAATTGAGTCTTTTTTTTTTTTTTTTTTTTGAGGCAGGGTCTCACACTGTCTCCCAGGCTGGAGGGCAGTGGCACCATCACAGCTCGCTGCAGCCTCAACTGGACTCAAGCCATCTTCCCACGTCAGCCTCCCATGTAGCTGGGACTACAGGCACGTGCCACCACACCTGGCTAAGTTTTTTATTTTTATTTAATTTTATTTATTTATTTATTTTGAGATGGAGTCTCGCTCTGTCACCCAGTCTGGAATGCAGTGGCACAATCTCGGCTCACTGCAACCTCCGCCTCTCAGGTTCAAGCGATTCTTCTGCCTCAGCATCTCGAGTAGCTGGGACTACAGGCACATGCTACCACGCCCAGCTAATTATTGTATTTTTAGTAGAGACGGGGTTTCATCCTATTGGTCAGGCTGGTCTTGAACTCCTGACCTCGTGATCCGCCTGTCTCGGCCTCCCAAAGTGCTGGGACTACAGGTGTGAACCACAGCGCCGGCCATAATTTTTGTATTTATTGTAGAGATGAAGTTTGACCATGTTGCCCAGGATGGTCTTGAACTCCTGGGCTCCCGCTGTCTGCCCACCTCAGCTTTGCAAAGTGCCAGGGTTACAGGCATGAACCACTGCGCCCAGCCGTTTTTTTAATGGGCAGTAGGCATGCCTGCACATTGCTCTAGAAAGAGACACTATCTCTGTCTTCCAAGGCTGTGGAAACCTATCCTTTGCTCAGGAGGGACACATTATTTTCAAGGCTGTTCACTGCACAAACCACCTTTAAAAGATATTTTAGAGTGAAAGAGCCAGCAGTGCTTCATTTGTAAGATGTGCAGGAACACAAGAGACCCATGGAAAATTGAGTCTCAACATCACATGAACTCATGAGGTTATTTCCTGTCTCTGGCCACTGAAAAGGCTTAGAAATAATAACCAAATCCAGTAGTAGTTCTCTCGAACCAGGACTTCTTGGAGACATGGCTGATTCCAGGTCTAGGGCAAAAAATGTTCAAGATAATCCTGGAATATCTTGTTATGCCGTACAAATGGGGCATGTCCCATGTAAATGAGGCATGTCAAAAGAATTCAGAAGTCAATTTGAAGAGGCTCTATGGGCCAAAGATGGGACTAGTTGAGCTTTAATAATAACTGTACTTGGTTTAAACATGCTAGATGTGTTTCAATCCTTGAGTTCATAATGATAATTTAAACTTTTAATTGGTCATCTTCAGAGGATTAAAATGAACCAGTTCAGTGTATTACAAAAAATAAAAAAAAAGTTGGTATATTGGTAGAACTGGTAAAAGGGACAGAATCAAACATTTATCTTGCTTTTCCTATGTAATTGTATCACTAGGTAATCAAATGGTAGACAAGGAGAAGTGTGTCTTTATTAGTGTATTTTAACTAATAAGTGAGAAAGAAATGATAGAATTAGACTCTCACCATTCAGTGTCAAAGGCTGTCAAGACTGTAAAAAGAGAGACATCCAGACACCGTACACCTCCTATAGTCTTGCCAAGGGGCTCGAACTGAGGTCTGATCCAGTGTCTGCACCCAGCTGCCTAATTGCTGCCAGTACAGAGGGCAGCAGAACAGGGTGACTTGCACCAAGAATATGCAATCCGCAAAAACAGACTGCTGGAAATTCTACAGGTCAGCAGCCCACGTTCAACAGATCATTTGTAGGAAATGAAAGCAATAGATGATAAGCATGTGGACCAATAGACTAAAAAGATACATCAAACATTTTTAAATGGGCAGGACTAAACTGTAGTGCCTAGGGCTACACGTTTAGGTAATGAAATTATGGTAAAGAAAGGAATAAAAGTCAGGATAATGATTACTCATAGGGAAGAGAGAGGATTATGACTGGGAATGGCATTTGGGAGGGCTTATGGAGTGACTAGCACAGTTCTTTTTCTTGACCCAAGTGGTGGACATTAAACCATATATTTGATTTGTGTGTTTTTCTGTCTTCATATATTATTGTATCATAAAAAAGATTTTAAAAAAATCATTAGATAAGAACAAGTGGCCGGGCGCGGTGGCTCACGCCTGTAATCCCAGCACTTTGGGACCCTGACGCGGGCAGATCATGAGGTCAGGAGTTCAAGACCAAACGGGCCAACATAGTGAAACCCCGTCTCTACTAAAAATATGAAAAATTAGCCGGGCCTGGTGGCGGGTGCCTGTAATCCTAGCCACTGAAGAGACTGAGGCAGGAGAATCGTTTGAGCACACAAGGCAGAGGTTGCAGCGAGCCGAGATCGAGCCATTGCACACCAGCCCCGGCGACAGTGCAAGACTCTGTCTCAAAAAAAAAAAAAAAAAAAAAAACAAGCTAGCCTAGGTGTTAAGATTCTTTTGTGATACTCTTCCCACTCCACAGATAAGCAAGAGCTGACTTTCAATAAATTCTTGAAAACTTGGGAGGATCTGTGGAGTTACTCAACATTATGAAATTATTCTACTATTGAGCATTTTTTTATATATGATACCATATTAGCCTAAGAATACACAGGGTAGTTAAATGCAGAAAACATCCCAGTATTATTTTTTGTTCAAATAGTATTTTTCCCTTATTATAAAAAGAAAACTTGTTCATTATAAAAAATTTGGAAATAAGAAAATATTCTATTCACCAAACATAACCAAATAATATTTTGGTATGTTTTCTATTGTTGCATCACTAGCTCCTATAATTAATTAATTAAATTTTGGTATGTTTCCTTTTATATTTTAATACATTTACATTGGGAAACTGGAGTTTTGTTTATACTTTATGTCTTCTTTTCTTCTTCTTCTTCAGAGGCCCTTGTTCTCCCATGCTTTATGTTCTCATCTCAGGCTCTGTACTCACATTCAGGCCTTCGATTAAGGACATTTAGGATCCTGATCTGTTTCAAAGGAGAATTCATTACTATTTCTGGACTGTTGTTCCCCTAGGTGGACTACATCATGCCGCCGCCCGAATTTCTGGTGACAGTGTCTATAAGCATTTGAAGTATGAGGGTGGGATTCACCGAGTTCAGCGTATCCCCGAGGTGGGCCTGTCCTCAAGGATGCAGCGCATTCACACAGGAACGATGTCGGTTATTGTCCTTCCTCAACCAGATGAGGTAACCTCAGCAGGAGGCATGGGAAACTCACTCCATGTCAGCGGGTATTGTGCTGGGAAGCCTTAGCTTCTCGGAAAATCTGTCCTTTTTTTTTTTTTTTTTGAGACAGAGTCTCACTCTGTCACCCAGGTTGGAGTGCAGTGGTAATCTTAGCTCATTGCAACCTCCACCTCCCTTGTTCAAGCAATTCTCCTGCCTCAGCCTCCCGAGTAGCTGGGATTACATGCACATGCCACCACGCCTGGCTAATATTTTTATATTTTTAGTAGAGACAGGGTTTCACCATGTTGGCCAGACTGGTCTCGAACTCCTGACCTTGGGCAATCTGCCTGTCTCGGCCTCCCAAAGTAGTGGGATTACAGGTGTGAGCCACCGCTCCCAGCTGGAAATCTGTTCTTTTCATGGCTACAGATTGGACTTGATAGTCTCTAATGGGAAATCTTTAACTCTCCCCCAGGCAAAGTTGCCCCTCTTATCACTGACCAAGATGTTTTGTTTGCTTTTAAATAGAAGTCACTAATTTTCAAAAAATGTTCGTTTAATGTTGCTGCCTAAATTTTATCTTAAGAAAGAAAATGAATTCCAGAGATAATATTTCAGGGTCAGTGGTATAATATCAGTATGGGGATCATATATCTATCTTTTTAGTTGAATACAGCCATCTGCTCTATATTTTTCTTTTCCCTAACCTTTTTTTTAAACATATAGAAAATTGAAAGGATACCATAATGAAATGTTACAACCTTCACCTGAGGTTGGTTGTTTACATTTTCTCACATTTGCTTGATTCCTATGTATATACATTTACTTAAATGAACTGTAAAGGATACAGCAGACACCATGAGACCTTACCTTCCAAATCTTTCACATACATCTCCTAGGCATTCTCCTATATAAGCACACTACCATTACCTAGGAAAACTAAGCATAATTGTGTAATATCGAATACCTAGTACATTTAACAGTTTCCCTAATCAGCCCCCAATTTTTTTATAGCTGTTTTTAATCTATTTTTGGAGGTACGGTCTCACTGTGTTGCTCAGGCTGAACTTGAACTCCTGGGTTCAAGGTGATCTTCCTGCCTTAACCTCCTGAGTAGCTAGGACTACAGGTGTGCCACTATACCTGGGTATAGTGATTTTTTTTTTTTTAACCAGGATCCTGTCAAGTTTCACACGTTGCAATTAGTTGCTATATTTCTTTAAGTTTGGAACAGTCTCCCAACTTTTTATTATTATTATTATTTAATGATAATGACTTTTTGAAAAGTCTAGACCATTTGTCTTGAAGAATGTCCCACATTCTGGATTCCTCTGACTGTTCCTCATGGTACTGTTTAACTTGTTCTTTTATCCTCTGTATTATGTTGAAAGTTGTATCTACATATTCCATTCCGTGCAGGTTACACATTTTGAGTGAGAATACTTCATAGGTGTAGTTATAGGCATGTTGCCTCTTACCAGAAGACACATAATGCTAGATTGTCTCACTTTTAGTGTGCCTTAGTTTTAGTAGTTAGCGAAGATGGTGACCACAGAAATATCTCCATTGTAAAAGTGTATTTCTCCCTTTGCAATTACTAAGTAATTTCTAGGGTACATATATCCTGTTCCCAACTACCTTTCATCCATAGTTTTAACATCCATTGGTGATCCTTGCCTGAATCAGTTCTTTACTTTGGGGTTGCGAGATGGTGATTTTCTAATTCCGTCATTCCTTCCACATTTATTAACTGGCATTCTTCTGTAAAGAACTTTCCTCCCTACTACCTTCTCACCTCCTAGCCCACACTTTCTTGCGTTCTTTTTCTAGTGTATGATTTCATTATAAACTCATATATCAAGTTTCACATATTAACCTCATTATAGACTCATGGATTCATGTTTTAATTCACTTATTTATAGTTACTATTCTTCTTTATGTTCAAATAGTCCCAGATTTGGTCTGTAGTAGCCTTTTAGAGTACCCCTTTTGTCCTTTTGAAATGATACCATCATTTGAGCATACTATGCTTTCGGACACACTTAGATTCCCAGGCCCATTTTGTACTATCCTGCCTCAGACTTAAGTCAGCCTGGTTCATTTTAGTGGGGAATGTATCCAGAAATTAAGATCTAGATAGTAGGTCTGTTCATTGTAGTTAGTGTTGTTACTTCTAGACTCCTTCAGTGGATATAGCCAGGAAATACATGTTTTGAAATCACAGTTTCATATTATTACTACCAATTCAAATTTAACATTACAGAAATTTTTGTCACCCCTCAACTTCTTGCATTTTGTATTTATATCTCTCCATTATACAAAAAATCTTGTTTCATAATCATTTTAATATGTTTATTTGGTTTATTATATACTATATATAAAATAGTTTCAAAATTACAATATCAACATTACTAATAGTAAACTACTGAGTAAGTTTAAGATTTTTTTCCTTAGAATATATTCTACCAAGAATGTATAGTCAGGCTGGGTGTGGTGGCTCACGCCTGTAATCCCAGCACTTTGGGAGGCCAAGGCAGACAGGATCATTTGAGGTCAGGAGTTCGAGACCAGCCTGGCCAACATGGTGAAACCCTGTCTCTACTAAAAATACAAAAAAATTAGCCAGGCGTGGTGCCGCGTGCCTGTAGTCCCAGCTACTCAGGAGGCTGAGGCAGGAAAACTGCTTGAGTCTGAGGCGGAGATAGCAATGAGCTGAGATCACGCCATTGTGCTCCAGCCTGAGCGACAGAGTGAGACTCTGTTTCGAAAAAAAGAGAATGCATAGTCAGAGCACTATGCTCAGAGACCATCTGAAATAATTTTTTTCTGTGTGGTTATGTTATTATGATAAATATTTTGGTTCATTTATTTCTGTTTTTATTTAATTTTAGGCTTTGATTTTTCTTTTTTACTTAATTTTATTTTCATATATTAAACATTTACATGGTTAAAAAATCAAAACCATAGAGCTGTCTTGCTTCCATCCTCATTTCTTCTGCCCCGTTCCCACTTACCCTGTTTTTCTTTTCTTTTTTTTTTTTTTTTTTTTTTTTGAGACAGACTCTCACTTGGTCACCCAGGCTAGAGTGCAGTGGCCCTATCTTGGCTTACTGCAACCTCAACCTCCCAGGAGCAAGTGATTTTCCCACCTTAGCCTTTTGAGTAGCTGGGACTATACAGGTGTGTGCCACAATGCCCGGCTAATTTTTATATTTTTTGTAGAGACAAGGTTTTGCCATGTTGCTCAGGCTGGTCTTGAACCTCCTGAGTTCAAGTGATCTGCTTGCCTTGGCCTCCCACAGTGCTGAGATTACAGGCGTGAGCCACAGTGCTGGGCCCTGTTTTCATATTCTTGAAAATTAAACTCATTTAGTAGCATCTCACTATTCTAAAAGTACAAGGTTATGTTCTCTTAACTGACATTTAAAATGCTTTATCTGCCCTAAGTCACCATTTCTGTATCCAGAGTTTCCCAAAAGTCATTAGATATTTCTGTAACATTTGGGAGAATGTGGCATATGATATCCACACATTTTCTACGTAACTACTTAATATACTATAGCCACATGAAATGGTAAGTCACTCTTATCTCTTCAGTACTTATTGAAGTCTTAAGGCAGCCAACTCTAACATATATTAACAAAAGCCGTATCATCTTTTTCTTCACTATGTTGCAGTCACTTGAGAGGAAACATACAAAAGAACAATCAGCTGAACAGTATCTTAGATTCCAGCCTTGACCCAGTTACTAGTTACTTTTCAAAGAGAAAAGTCACACTTGCTTTGTCATTCATCATAATAAATGATGAATGTGGAACAAAATGTTAGCTCTCCCCTTAAAAATAGCATATTTGTTGTAGGCTGGGTGCAGTGGCTCATGCCTGTAATCCAGCACTTTAGGAGACCAAGGTGGGTGGATCATGAGATCAGGAGTTCGAGACCAGCCTGGCCAACATGGTGAAATCCCATCTCTACTAAAAATACAAAAAATAGCTGGTAGTGATGGCACACGCCTATAATCCCAGCTACTCGGGAGGCTGAGGCAGGAGAATCTCTTGAACCTGGGAGTCAGAGGTTGCAGTGAATTCTGAGATCATGCCACTGCACTCCAGCCTGGGCAACAAAGCAAGACTGTCTCAAAAAAAACAAAAAACAAAACAAAACATATTTGTTAACTATTTGTGTGTGTGTGTGTGTGTCTGTGTCTGTGTATAAGTTTCCAAAGGCTGCTGTAACAAATTACCACAAACTTAGTGGCTTCGAATAGCAGTAACTTATTATTTCACAGTTCTAGCAGCCAGAAGTCCAAAATCAAGGTGTCAGCAGAGTCACGCCTCTCTGAAGGCTCTGGGGAGAATCCTCCCTTGCATCTTCCAGCTTCTGGTTGCTCCAGGTGTTCCTTGGCTTGAAACTATACCACTCTTCAAATTCACATGGTCTTCTCCTTTACTGTCTCCTCTAGTTGTTTCTTATAAGGACACTTGTCATTGGATTTAGGGCCTATCCTGATAATCCAGGATAATCTCATCTTAACTCAATTACCTCAGCAAAGAACCTTTTTCCGAATAAGGTTCCATGAATTAGAACATGAACATATCTTTTTGGGAGCCACCTTTCAATCCACGAATAAACACACACATACACCAATGAAGTTGATTTTCATTATTCCCAGTAGTTATGTTCTGTAAAGTTGCAGCAAACACTAATTTAGTAGATATTGAATCACTTGGGAGTAATGGTTCAGTATTTGTTAAATCAGTGTTACGAACAATGGTTCAATATTAACTAAATCCAGCTGAGCGTGGTGGCACACACCTGTGGTCCCAGCTACTCAGGAGGTTGAGGCAGGAAGATTGCTTAAGTCCAGGAGTTCAAGGTGGCAGTGAGCTATGATTGCACCATTGCACTCCAGCCCAGGCAACAGAGACCCTCTCTCAAAAAAAAAAAAAAAAAAAAAATTAGCTAAATCCATAAACACACACACATACACACACACACACTGAGCTCACGTAGATTATAATCTTAAATTCTAAAAATAACCTATCCTGGTAGATTCTCTATACTTTACAATAAAGAAAACGAGGCCTAAGAGTGTCGAGTGACTTGCCTGATGCTGCTCCACTAACAGGTGCTAGTGTTCATATTCAAACCCAGTCCAACTGGCCCCAGAGCCAGAGCACTGCTCTGCTCTGCCCCCTACACCTCCATTCTCTGGTCATCTCTGTAGGAGAGCTGCCACAAGAAGGCAGTGTTACCTTGTCCTACTTCAGCTGGCAATGGGCAAGTGTGGAGCAACTCATATTTTTCACTGCCCTATGCATGTCTGCAAATGACTGTGGAAGTGCCTTAGGTGTTGATTCAAGGATACAAATAAATTTTAGTGAGTAGGAAAATTTGCAAATAGACATTCTAACAATAATGAGAATCAACAATATATAGTATATATGTGTGTATTTTATATATTTTGGGGGGTTTCTTACATGTAACTTTGGGATGATGAATGATGAAACTTTTGATAGATTGAAAACTCAGTGATCTCATAACATCCTAAATCAGTGCTTAAAAATGGAATCCCTGGGCCAGGTGTGGTGGCTCATGTCTGTAACCTCAGCGTTCAGGAAGTCCAAGGTGGGAGGATCACTTGAGGCCAGGAGTTCAAGACCAGCCTGGGCAAATTAGCAAGACCCCATCTGTACAAGAAATTTTTAAAATTAACATGGCATGGTGGTGCGCACCTGTAGTCCTAGCTACTCAGGATGCTGAGGCAGGAAGATTACTTAAGCCCAGGAGTTTGAGGTTACAGTGGGTTATGATTGTGCCACTATACTCCAGCCTAGGCAACAGAGAGCGATCCTGTCTCAAACAAACAAAAAATAGCATCCTATTGGAATGGGCAGTTTATTGCTCTTTCTTTGGTATAAGTTACTTCTCTTAGTCTAAAGGCTATAACTTAAAACAGTACAGTTTATTTGAAAAATCTTGGAATCGATTTCATATTAAAGTATTCACAGAGTGTAGAATTATGCCATCCCTTCTGTTCTAGGTGGATGTGAAATTGGACCCCAAGGATTTGCGAATAGATACATTTCGAGCCAAAGGAGCAGGAGGGCAGCATGTTAACACAACTGATAGTGCTGTCAGACTTGTCCACATCCCCACAGGTAAGCAAGCCCCTTGGCTTTGTACTTTTAACCATTTTTCCATCTTACTCAGCATTTGGAAGGAAATAATCCTATGTGAGTGTCTGGTTCCTTGCACAGCTCTTTAAAAATGTCACTGGGGTTGTGGATAAGGATGGCTATTGTGTTCATGTTCCCCTTCTGTTTGGAAAGACTCCTTTCTGAAAAGATGCGGACAGTGAGCAGACCTGTTCAGGGAAGCTTCCCAGGTATGCTGTACAGGAGTGAGCAACCAGAGGTGCCCCAGCCTAAATACAAACGAAACACAGAAGCAGCCTTGGACAGGCCACCGCCGTGGATCTTCTGTCACCTTGTAGCATGATGGCTAACTCCATTAGGCTTCGCTGCACTAACGCTTTTATTTTGAATATTGGTAATTTTGGTATACTCTGAGGTAGTTTTGCGGTCTGTAATGTGATTTTAAATATTCCTACCATTTTTCAAATTAAAAATTTTTAACTTCTTAATTTTTTAAAATTAATTTTTACATTTCATGTATATGGTTTTAAAAGTCTAATGGCAAAGTCCTATAACAAAAAAACCAACAGCTATCTGAACTTGTTCCCACCCTCTTCCTTCTTCCTCTACCCTCAGTTCCCATTTCCTAAAGATAACCACTTTAAATTCTTTTAGCTCACTTCTCTAGCTGCAAAAAACAAATAAGCCTCTTTTAGCTATTTCTTCTGGTAATTACCTCAGTATTCCTAAATAATAGGCAAATAGTGCTCTTCTGACCAACTATAAAAGTTATATATTTACGTCTTAATGTTGTATGAGAATTTTGCCCTTCCTGTATACCTTTTCCTCTTCCAAATATTTGTCTTTTGGCAAAATTAATTTTCACTGTGTTCATATAATGAACAGATAGTGTTTGACGCTGAGCCCATTAGTATACAGTCCTGTGATTTCATTTCCTAGAGTTAATAATTACCTCATTGATTTTTCATTTGCCTACTTTTCTTTGACTCTGAGTCTGCCTGCATCTTCCAGAAGCTGTGTAAAATGAAGTCACTCCAGTGCTCTCTGGAGACCCCCTGACAGAGCACTCCATCATCTTGCTCCAGCGTGGACAAGCTGCTCCCCAGGACATTGCACAGGGGTTGTCCTGGTCATCGGCAGTTGGGGAGTTCCTTTCACCTCTATTCTGTGTTGGATCCTCCCATTTCTTGGGTTCCATATTGTCTTTTTCTCTTTGTTACTCTGTCATTTTAACAAAGCTCATCTTTATGTGGTTTCCTGAGGAAAGATTTGTGACATGTAAATATTTCAGGCTTTGGAGATCTGAAAATAGCTTTATTCTAACTTTGCACTTCATCAATCATTTCTTGGAAATAACTTCCCCTTAGAGCATTGAAAGTCTTTTTCATTCCTTGTATTTGTTGCTTTCAGTTTAGAGACTCATGCCTTTCAGCTCTGAAATACTTTCTTCAATAATTTCTTGCATAACATTTTCTTTATTCTTTCTGGGATTTCTATTAGTTAGATGTTAGACCTCTTGAATTTTTTTTTCCCTCATATTGTCTGTCACTTTGTTTTTTAGTTATTTTTCCTACCCTTTTTCTGATTTTAAAAATTTTATTTTTTTTAACTTTTGGGAGCTCTTTCTTGTTCTCAGAATTGTTTTCTCATAGCATCCTTTTCTTATTTTGTTGATACTTATTTCTTTTTTTTTATTGCTCAAGGATATTACTTTTAGTTTCCCTGATGTTCCCTTCTGCTTTCTGCAGTGTCTATGTTTCTTCTGAGTTTATTTTTGTTTCATGCTTGCTTTACTTTTCTTTTTTTCTTTTTGAGACAAGGCCTTGGCCTGTTGCCCAGGCTGGAGTACAGTAGTGTGATCACAGCTCACTGCAGCTGTGACTTTCCCAGGCTCAGGTGACCCTCCCACGTCAGCACCACTCCCCCGCCCCCTGTTCCTGGTAGCTGGAACTACAGGCACTTGCCTGGCTAATTCTTACTTTTTTTTTTTTTTTTTTTTTTGGTAGACACTGGGTTTCTCCACATTTCCCAAGCTGGTCTCCAACTCCTCGGCTCAAGTGATCTGCCTGCCTCAGCATCCCAAAGTGTTGGGATAACAGACATGAGCCACTACACTCGGCCCATTCTTACTTTCATGTTGGAAATTTCTAGGAATTCTTGTCTGTCTGTACATATTTAAGAGTCAAGTTCTAAAGCTCTGAGTGCACTTATCCACATACCCACTAGTGAGTTCCACGGTAGATCAGTTAGAGCGTTAATCAGCTTTTTTATTAGGGACCTTTTCTCTTGCGAGTTTCTTTTCTCCTGAGAAGGATCTTCCAGGATACAGCTGAGAGTAAGGTCAAGGTCTCACCGTTCAATAGCAGTCGTTTACTTAATCCTCTGGTCTTCCGGCCCATGTTCACACTTGCCCTCCCTTGTAACTAGTCCCAGGTCTAGAATTTTCCTGATTTAATTATCCAGAAATATACCTCCTGCCTTCTGCAGATTGAGGAAGGAGACTTGAGGATCTATTTGTTATTATAGGCTTTCTGTATTTAGCCCTAGCTCCTCAAGCCTGACTTTTAAATACCTGGTGTCTCTATTTCTGAGCCTTTCTGGCACTTAGCAGGGCAAATAGGCCAGTTTCTGGTCAGCATGTCACTCTACAGGGAATTAAGTGTCACCTTCCTTCCAGCTGCTAAGTCATTTACCATTCTTCCATCCACTTTTTGTCTTTAATAGATCATGTTTGGGGATTATATACTTTTATTTCAGATGGAGTTTGTGTTTCTGTGTCTTGTTCTTGTTGTAGTGTGATTTAAAAAAAGGGGGTGGGTGTGCCGGGCGTGGTGGCTCAAGCCTGTAATCCCAGCACTTTGGGAGGCCGAGACGGGTGGATCACGAGGTCAGGAGATCGAGACCATCCTGGCTAACACGGTGAAACCCCGTCTCTACTAAAAAATACAAAAAACTAGCCGGGCGAGGTGGCGGGCACCTGCAGTCCCAGCTACACAGGAGGCTGAGGCAGGAGAATGGCGGGAACCCGGGAGGCGGAGCTTGCAGTGAGCCGAGATCGCGCCACTGCACTCCAGCCTGGGTGACAGAGCAAGACTCCGTCTCAAAAAAAAAAAAAAAAAAAAAAAAAAGGGGGTGGGTCAGGCGCAGTGGCTCACACCTGTAATCGCAGCACTTTGGGAGGCTGAAGCAGGTGGATCCCCTGAGGTCAGGAGTTTGAGACTAGCCTGGCCAAAATGGTGAAACCCCGTCTCTACTAAAAACACAAAAAAATCAGCCAGGCGTTGTAGTGTATGCCTGTAGTTCCAGCTACTGGGGAGGCTGAGGCAGGAGAATCAGTTGAACCCAGGAAGTGGAGGTTGCAGTGAGCCGAGATCGTGCCATTGCACTTCAGCCTGGCCAACAGGAGCGAAACTCCGTCTCAAAAAAAAAAAAAAAAAAAAACGGAAACCATCTTGAAGTCAGACATCATTGATTGTTTATATTGTTTGTTATATGAAAAGCTAAAACAACGTAAATATCCAACAATGGGATAATTTCATACTTTCTCTTAAGTTTCCTTTATTGATTTTTATTCCATAGGAAACTGTTAAAAAAAAAAAAAAAAAAAAAAAAAAAAAAAAAAAAAACAGGCTGGGCGCAGTGGCTCATGCCTATAATCCCAGCACTTTGGGAGGTCAAGGCAGGTGGATCACCTGAAGTTGGGAGTTCAAGACCAGCCTGACCAACATGAAGAAACCCCGTCTCTACTAAAAATACAAAATTAGCCGGGTGTGGTGGCGCATGCCTGTAATCCCAGCTACTCGGGAGGCTGAAGCAGGAGAATTGCTTGAACCCGGGAGCTGGGGTTGCGGTGAACTGAGATCACACCATTGCACTCCAGCCTGGGCAACAGTGAAACTCTGTCTCAAAAAAAAAAAAAAAAAAAGAAAATAATATATGCATGAGCAAAAGAACATAAAACATCTGTAATAATAACCCAGTAACCATTGTTGGCATATATCTTTGGTATACATCCTTTCAAATTCTTTTCTGTACATATAGTAATATGCCATTTTTTCCCCAAAAAATGAGGTTATACTTTTTTTTTTGCTAGAAGGAGTCTAGCTCTGTCACTCAGGCCGGCATGCAGTGACCAGTGAACCTTGGTTCACCGCAACCTCTGCCTTCAGTGTTCAAGCTATTCTCCTGCATCAGCCTCCCAGGTAGCTGGGACTACAGGCGTGCACCACCACACCTGGCTAATTTTTGTATTTTTAGTAGAGACGTAGTTTTGCCATGTTGGCCAGGCTGGTCTCAAACTCCTGACCTCAAGTGATCTGCCCACCTCCTCCTCCCGAAGTGCTAGGATTACAGGCATGAGCCACCGTGCCCGTCCTGAGGTTATACTTTTTGTAACTTGCCATAATTTATTTCAACAATCCATAAATTGTTGGATACTTAATGTGTTTCACCTAAACCCTGTATTGTTGGATATCATTCTATATTATACATAGTCCAGAACAGTAATAATTAGCTTCAGATGAATTAAAAATTAAAATGGGTAAAAAATTGGGTAAAAGGTGATCAAAACTCTGACAAAATAAACCAGAATACTTTAAAACTTAAAGGTTGTAAAACCACCCTGTGTAGCCATAAATTGCTGACTTTACAAAAAGTGACTTACAGAGAGTAGAACTGTGGTTATTAGAGACTAGGAAGGGTAAGGGGGAGGGGAGGATAGAGAGAGGTTAGGTAAGGGATACAGAATTACAGCCGGTTAGGAGGAATTAGTTCTGGTGTTCTACAGCACTATAGCATGAATATGGTTAACAGTGATTTATTTATTGCATATTTTCAGAAAGTTAGAAGATTTTGAATGTTCACAACACAAAGAAATGATAAATAAATTTTGAGGTGATGGATGTGCTTATTACCCTGATTTGATCATTCCACATTGTATCGAAATACCACTCTATATCCCATATATATGTACAATTATTACATGTCAACTAACAATAAAAGGAAAAGAAAGTGACTTATCATTGTGCTGCCAGACTTACCTTGGGCCAGTTATCTTTTAACCACTTAGATCTGAGTCTTTGGTTTTAAAGAGGCCTGAAGTCCTGCCCTCAAACCTTCCCTTTAGGCAAGCAAGGCATGTCAAGACCTAGCCCTTAGGAAGCCACGCAGTCATAACAAAGTGATTTCTTCAGCCTGCTTCTTCCATATTTTGAGGATTGCCATAGTTTCAGCATCTGCTTCAAGGAAAACTCAGCTTTTCTTCCATTTCTCCCATTCTTTCTTCCATCCCAAGACCTTAGACTAGGAACTGTCCCTGCTAGAATTCAAAGTGAAAACTATAGCTTCTATTCTTCTATTTTTCTCCATGCCATGGACTCTGAAGAATCATATTTTTTTTCTAACCACTGCTTCTAGATGACTCCATTTTCCACCATTGGAAGAGTTATTCATAGGGGTATGGTTAAATGTTTATACAGGGGAATATTACCTTTCTTGGGAAAATTTATCCCAAGATAAGGGTGAAGACAAATGAATATTTTATGCATTAAAGTGGGCTTTTTAGTTTATTACCAGTTGGCGAGTAAAATAAAAGATGGCCTCTGTAATTCTTTGTCTTCTCTTCTCTTCTCTTTTCTCTTTCTCTCTTTTCTCTTTCTCTCTTTCTTTCTTTCGACTGGGTTTTGCTCTGTTGCCCAGGCTAGAGTGCAGTGGCATGATCATAGCTCACTGTAACCTCGAACTCTTGGCTCAAGCCATCCTCCTACCTTAGCTCCCTGCGTAGCTGGGACTATAGGTGCAGTTACCACGCTGGCTAATTTTTTGTATGTTTAGTAGAGACGAAATCTTGCTGTGTTACCCAGGCTGGTCTCAGAACTTCTGGCCTCAAATAATCCACCTGCCTTTGCCTCCCAAAGTGCTGGGATTGCAGGTGTGAGCCACCGCACCCAGCCCTCTTCTATTATTCAATATATCTTCCCTCCCTCTACATCTTCTATTCTTAAGGGAGTACTTATTATTAAATACTTCTCTTTAGAAAGTATATAATAAAATACATAATCAAGTGATTCCGTTAGTAATTACTGAGCTGGAAAGTAATAGTTTTGATCTAAAAGTTCTAACCTGAGTAAGTAGATAGGAATAATACAGGTGCTTAGGCAAAAATCAGTACAGATCAGCTGACAAGAAGAGGAATGTGGAGGAGAGCTCATGAAAGCCTGGCTGTCTTAAAATGGAAATGTTCATATTCTTTGGGGTAACACGAAAAGGATACGAGAGTCAGGGAAACTCCAGACAAATACCTGGAAGATGGGGGTCAGTCAGTGCCCCCAGTCCAACCAGATGGCCACAGTAAAGAGGTCAGGAAGTGATTAAACTAATAGAGGTGAAACCTCAGTGCCCTACTAAAAATATTAGCAGGTAGTGACTGTAGCTTATTTAGACAGGGAGAAAACATAGTTCAGAGAATAGAATTTTATAGAAATTCTTTAAATCTCCAGCAAAATATTTACCACTGTATCAGTGCAGATAGGCCAAGCTAATGGGGCTTTTGGTTTTTAGTTTTTGTGAGTCAGAAAGAAAACCCCTTTCTCCTCTAATGTACTGAGGAGCGGGATTAGACATGGACCTCAGAGTGGTAGCTACAAAGTTAAGAACAACACAGCCTCAAGAAGTGATCATTTCAGGGCTGGATTTGGGCCAGTAACTGGACGACACAGTGGGCCAAACCCACCCAAATGCAGAAGCTGGCCAGCCAAAACTTGTGTGTGGTTAGATGTATTGATTAGCTGGACCCCAGCTAACTCAGACTATGCAGAACAAGTTAGAAATTTAGAACTCAGACAACTCAGAAACATTCACTATAAATTCTTCTTTTTAAAGACTCTGAGTAGCATCTTTTCATTGGCTTTTTTCTATAAAGGTTTTTTTGTTTTTTGTTTTTTGTTTTTGACGGAGTCTCACTCTATTGCCAGGCTGGAGTGCAGTGGTGTCATCTCGGCTCACTGCAACCTCCGCCTCCCAGGTTCAAGCGATTCTCCTGCCTCAGCCTCCCAAGTAGCTGGGACTACAGGTGCATGCCACCACGCCTGGTTAATTTTTTGTATTTTTAGTAGAGATGGGATTTCACCGTGTTAGCCAGGATGGTCTCGATCTCCTGATCTTGTGATCCGCCCGCGTCGGCCTCCCAAAGTGCTGGGATTACAGGTGTGAGCCACCGCGCCCGGCCATTATAAAGGTATCTTTAAAGCCTCAGCTCTGTGTATATTTGTGACTGAAAGGGGGAGAGGCTAGTTCTTGAGCTGGACAGAGAATGGAGCAGCACAGTGTACAGAGTAGCAGTAGTTTGCTGTTTGTTGAGCTGCAGAGATGCCTGGATGAGCGAGGAGGAAGAGGCCAAGCTCGGGGACTGAAAGGATAGGTAAGCATCTGTAGATGCTGCTGCTTTCTGGGTGCTCATACGGAGTTCTCATTTACATATCAGAGTCTGAAGCGCCAACGACAGCTACATTCATAACGCAGCTAGTTTCTGAAGTGTGCCAAACCTAAAATGTTTTTCTCTTTTGTGATATTTTCCTGATTAACCTGTCTCATTTAACTGTTCCTTAGTTCTATCTTAATTTGGTGGAAGCTACAGTTTACCTTCTGATCCTTGTTATTTTTCAGGGCTAGTAGTAGAATGCCAACAAGAAAGATCACAGATAAAAAATAAAGAAATAGCTTTTCGTGTGTTGAGAGCTAGACTCTACCAGCAGATTATTGAGAAAGACAAGTGTCAGCAACGAAGTGCTAGAAAACTGCAGGTAAGATTTACTTGGTGTAATAATTTAGTGACTGTTTAAAGAAAAGTCACTTTCTGTAGAGAATGCAGTGTTTGTTCTTGCTTTTTAAATGGGAATGTTTCAGAGCATAGAGAAATGCGCTCCTTTGTAAATAAGCAGTAACTCAATGCAAATGAACGGATGGTTTATGGCTGAACTTGGGCATACCAGTTTGCAAGTTAGTAAATGAAAGATGTATAAACTAAAAAGTATTTCCTAGTTGTTTCCCTCTTGTGTTTATATCATTACTGTCTTAAGAGGAAAATGGTTTAAAAGACAAAATAATTCTTTGAGAATTAAGAACATTTTTGATTTTTAAAAATTAAAACCTATGCTTGTGTTATAACTCTATGTGAGATCAAATACAAATGGCACTGCAAAAAACTGGGAACAGTGAATCCTACTGATGGAGACTAGGGATAAGGGGTAGAAAGGAAATTTATTTTTCATTATATATCGTTTGGTACTTTTTGAATTTTGTACTATATATGGTATAGTGTTACTTATTTAAATAGATAAATAGATGAATTCTAAGCAAAATGAATAAATGTCATTATTTTAAGTAAACCTAATATATAAATTCTTTTTTTTTTTTTTTTTGTGACGAAGTCTCACTCTGTCATCAGACTCGAGTGCAGTGGCATAATCTCAGCTCACTGCAACCTCTACCTCCCAGGTTCAAGCGATTCTCCAGCCTCAGCCTCCTGAGTGGCTGGGATTACAGGCACATGCCACTACACCTGGCTATGCTACAGTAATTTAAATTTGGAAGATTTTGTGGCCTTTTAGGATAATGAATTGTCTAAACCTAAGCATTAGTTATACTTTTCATCTCGATGTGTCCTAGCTTTTTCACACTTTGGTGCTTCTAGCTTTCTTTACCTACGTGCTAACTTGCAGGTAGTAAAAGTGACAGGATAAATAATATTAACACTGTTAGTGGTAATCCCCGATTGTAGAGCATTATCAGTGTATGCATTTGCCGACAGGAATGCTCGTTTACAAACCATAACTTATTTTTGTTTTTAACAAGCAAATAATATACCCTGAGTACACACCATTACTTCTTGGCAAATAAGTGATAACATAAATACTATGAACTCTGCTACATTTGAATTTTAAAAAGACATTTGGATTTACTTGCTGTTTAACATTTTGGCACCAGAGGTTCCACAGACTAATTTTTTTTTTTTTTTTTTTTTTTTTTTTGAGACAGATTCTCTGTCTGTCACCCAGGCTACAGTGCAGTGGCACGATCTTGGCTCACTGCAACCTCTGCCTCCCGGGTTCAAGCGATTCTTGTGCCTCAGCTTCCCGAGTGGCTGGGATTACAGCCACCATGCCTGGCTCATTTTTGTATTTTTTGTAGAGATGGGTTTTTGTCATGTTGGCCAGGTTGTTGTCGAACTCCTGGCCTCATGTGATCTGCCCACTTGAGCTTCCTGAAGTGCTGGGATTACAGGTGTGAGCCACTGCACCCAGCCCACAAAGTAATTTTTAAAATAGGTGTTCAAGATTGGCTTTATACAAATTGTTCATGTGTGTCTTCTTCAGTGGTCTGATTGACGAGCCAAAAAAGACATCACTGCCTCTTGAATAACTTACCCACCTACCTGAAATGTTTTAATAGGGATTTCTAAGGCTTAGAAGTTTTTTTCTTCGATCAAGATATACACTTGGCTTTTATACAGAAGGCATTATGCCACATTCCCAATCCTGGGTCCACTGATCACCTAACAAGCTTTCATAGATGCCCAGGCCCCACCCCAGAAAAACTGATCTGGAGTGAGGTCCTGGCCATTAATATGGCACTTTGGGAGGGTGGTTTCCAAACTTGGCTGATTGTCAGAAGAGATGATCTGGGAATGTTTTCAAAATACATAATTCTGATCCATTATCTCTGAGGTTGGGCTTAGGAATCCATAATTTTAAAAAATTATTCTAATGGTCAGGAGTTTAGTTTCATATCACTTGCCTTAGGGTTTGAGACAATGAGTTATAGAAATATCTTATCTTCTTTTATTTTAAAAAGCGAAAGCATTTGAGACAGGGTGTTGTGTATATCGGGTGTTGGGGAGGTGGAGGAGATGAGCAAACTAGGAAGAATGCAAATAACTGTAGCATGAGACAAACTGTGGTGTGCCATGAAGAACATTCCAAGTACAATGGGTTTCAGAGGAAGAAGAGAATATATTTCAATTGCTGGGACCAGAAAGGCAGAAATGGTAGGAGAGTGTTAGGGAAGGGCATCCCTTGAGATGATGTTTTATAGCACAGATAACAGACACACACATAATAATGACATAGTATTATTAGTGGCATTATGGAGATTCACATAATTTTCAGAAATAACATTGGGAAGATTGGCCACGTTACAAAGTACCTCGAATGCTGAGTTGAGTTGTGTCTGCTCAGTAGACAAGAAGGAACCAAAGAAAATTTATCAGAAAACTGTACTGTAGGAAGACTAAGCAGGGCAGCACGAAGTGAGCAGAAAAATGGGAGATGAATCAGTAGATGTTTGCAGAATTGTAGGTGAAAGTAATGAGTCCAGGAGTGGTAGTAGAAATGGAAAGGGCAGGATATAATAAGAGACCCATGAAACCAATTGGAAATGGGCGGCTGGAGAATGGGATGAATTGAAGATGGTCTGTCCCCCCATGTGCATCTGTATCAAAGCCTGGCATAGTAAACTCACACCCACAAAATGTTTGATAAATTGCAGAATGTCAGAATTTTCTACTTGGATAAAAGGGAATACATGGTGCTGTCATTTATAGAAACCAGGAGGAGGAACTGATTGGAGTGGAAAGATGATTAATTTGATTTTAAGTATTTTGAGTTTGAAATATCAAAGAAACATTCCTTCTTATTCTATAACTGAGCTCTACAGACCTGTAGTGTTAAACATTAAGTTCTGCCCATTCTTGTTCTTTGTCATTTTGTATATATGACTTTTAGAAAATATCTAAATTGTTGAAATAGTCATTTGCCAAGTGCTTTTTCCATTGTAATGAAGACATTTATAAAGGTAAAATATAAATTGCTTTTTATTATGGCACAGGTGGGAACAAGAGCCCAGTCAGAGCGAATTCGGACATATAATTTCACCCAGGATAGAGTCAGTGACCACAGGATAGCATATGAAGTTCGTGATATTAAGGTAATACTACTGCGTATGCTTTGTGTACCTTTGATTTCAGAAGAAAACATAGTCAAATTCTAGAACCTATATGTAGATATTACCAAGTATATCTAAAATATTTCCAAGTAATTTAAATCATTAAGCCACCCAAAAATTTACAAACACTTTCATTAGTTTGCTGGTTAAAAAAATAATGATCTTTATGCCATTTTGAAACAATGATCTTTTCTTTTTTTTTTTTTTTTTTTTTGAGACAGAGTCTCGCTCTGTCGCCCGGGCTGGAGTGCAGTGGCCGGATCTCAGCTCACTGCAAGCTCTGCCTCCTGGGTTTACGCCATTCTCCTGCCTCAGCCTCCCAAGTAGCTGGGACTACAGGCGCCCGCCACCTCACCCGGCTAGTTTTTTGTATTTTTTAGGAGAGACAGGGTTTCACCGTGTTAGCCAGGATGGTCTCGATCTCCTGACCTCGTGATCCACCCGTCTCGGCCTCCCAAAGTGCTGGGATTACAGGCTTGAGCCACCGCGCCCGGCCAAAACAATGATCTTTTCTAAATTCCAAATTCTTCGTTATGCAATCACAATGTATGAACATATATTCAGTCTGCATATATACATGGGTATTGGTTTTCTATTGCCAGGTAACAAATTACCACAAATATAGCAACTTAAAGCGGTACCCATGATTAAAGTATCTCATGATTTCTGTAGGTCAGAAATCCTGGAACAGCTGAGCTTAGTTATCTTCTCAGGATCTCACAAGGCTGAAATCAAGGCATGGCCAGGCTCCATACTCTTCTGGAGCTTGGGGTCCTCTTCCAAGGTTACGTGGTTGCCAGCAGAATGCCACTGCCTTGGATTGTAGGACTGAAGTCCCCATTCCCTTGCTGGCAGGCAGCAGGAGGCTGCTTTTCAGTGCTTAAATACTGTTGGAAGTTGTTTCTCAGTGGCTCCCTCCCACTTTGAATTTCTGCTTGCAGGAATGACTCAGGCCTTTTTAAGGGCTCACCCGTTTAGGTCAAGCTGACCTGGATAATGTTCCTTTTGATTAACTCAAAGTCAACTGCTTCGTCACCTAGGCACTAGAATGATACTCTGTCATTTTCACAGGTCCTGTCTGCGCTGAGAGGGAGTTATGCACAGTGTGTACACCAGGGGGCATCTTAGAATTCTCCCTACCACAATGTGTCTTCATTAGATTGAGGTGTTACAGTTAGGCTGTTGGGGAAAAGACTCGGTCAAGATTGTTCGAACATTAACCTGTCTAAATCGCATCTAGCAAAGATCACTGACATAAATATATAAATATATTAATGATGAAGCACAGGAAAATGTCTGTTTTGTTGCCACTGAAGGAGAAAGTGAACTGGTCCCATAAAGGACTATGTGGCAAAGGCAGCAGACAGAAAGCTTTGAGCTTTTTCCTTGGTGCCGTATGATACCTAAGGCTTCTTTCACTTGACTCTGTCCCATTCTATACTCAAAATCAAAGTCCTAGTTTTACAAGGGAAATATACCTTGTAAAAAAGTTCTGGTTTTACAAGGTTACTATGTTTGTCAATTTCTGTATGTCTTATGCCACATCCTCCGTCTCCTCAGCAGGATAAGGCTGTCTTACATAGGAACATAGTAGCCATATTGAAAAGGAGGAAAATATTTGCTAATTTCCCTTTCCTCAGGAAACACACAGTATTAACCAAACATGTTTGGCCATATTGCTCTAATTACACCATGTTCTTTCAGTTGTTTTTCTGGTAGTAGTGACAATTTTTTCGGAGATAGCCACATTCTTATGACCAGTAATATCTTTTAGATGGGCCCATAGGTGCATAGTATAGTATTCGGTTGTGAAACAAAGGGAAGGTAACTAACTGGCTTCTGTAGTTATAAAATATCTGACTTTGGCCTAAATAATGATATATCACTAACCAAACTAGCGTGCCAGACTCAGAAGTCATAAGGAAAATAACATTGGTAAGCTCTAATAATCAATAACTAGTCTATTGGAAGGAAAGAAGACATTCCATAGTAGTGAAAGGAAGAAAGTTCGAAAACAGCATGAAAAAAAGCAGCTGTAGTAAAACATTAAAATCTGAGTGAAGGACAGTAAAGAGACTATAGACAGTAAAGAGTGAATAATTGGCTGGGCACGGTGGCTCACACCTGTAATCCCAGCACTTTGGGAGGCCGAGGCGGGCGGATCACGAGGTCAGGAGATCGAGACCATCCTGGCTAACACGGTGAAACCCCGTCTCTACTAAAAATACAAAAAAAAAAAAAAAAATTAGCCGGGCGTGGTGGCAGGCACCTGTAGTCCCAGCTACTTGAGAGGCTGAGGCAGGAGAATGGCATGAACCCAGGAGGCAGAGCTTGCAGTGAGCCGAGATCATGCCACTGCACTCCAGCCTGGGTGACAGAGCGAAACTCTGTCTCAAAAAAAAAAGAGTGAATAATTTAGGAACCAAATCATAGATGAAGCTGGAAAAGTGATAAGGATCTTAACCCCAGGGCAACAGCTGTTAGACAAATGGAAGGGGTAGATAGGAAAGAATGTGAGCGTCTTTGGAATTTTTGCCTAGCTCTCCTCCCCTATTCTAGAACTTGCCCTTCGTACCACATCCACAGTTTTTGACGGAGCTACTGCATTCTTAAATGATTGTGATCCTGACCCAGGACAGAAGTGGATTTTTTTGGAGTGGACACCTAAATAAGTCCCAGCCCGTGAGTTTCTTCCCTGGATTTTAAAATCAGAGATGGAGAGGATTATTCTCTCTCTTGGTGGCTGAAACTGTAATATATAAAGCATATAAGAGATTAGAAGCCACATTTTCAGCCACCAAGAGAAAGCATCTTCAGTGAGAAAAGAATGAAATTGATACACAGAGAAAAGCAAAAATGAGAAATAGAACCCTGATATGAGTCCCTACATTTATTTATTCCCAAGGCTCAGTCTCATTCCGCAGGTGGTACTCGTGACCCTGCACATTCCACATTCCTATCCTTGGGTTCTGTGAGATCACTGGTATTCTCATTATGACTTCCTCTAGGTAACTTTCTTACTTTTATTTATCTAGCTAATAAGCATAGACTACCATATAATGGATTGTTTCACATTTTTATTCTGTTTCTCAATGTCCTTATGCAGATTTCTTCACATCAGCCTTAACTCCTGCTCTATATTCCAGTTACACTGGAAATTTCCCCTGGCCTTAGAGATTTAAATGTACTTTGTTTTCCTGTTTTTGTTTGTTTGTTTTTGCGACAGATTGTCACTCTGTTGCCCAGGCTGGAGTGCAGTGGTGCAATCTCTGCAGCCTCTGCTTCCTGGGTTCAAGTGATTCTCCTGCCTCAGCCTCCTGAGTAGCTGGGATTACAGGTGTGTACCACCATGCCTGGCTAATTTTTCTGTGTTTTTAGTAGAGAAGGAGTTTCACCATGTTGGCCATTCTAGTCTCGAACTCCTGGCCTCAAGTGATCCACCCGCCTTGGCCTCCGAAAGTGCTGGGTTTACAGGCTGAGCCACCACATCCAGCAGTTTTCCTGTCCTAATACTCATTCTTTTTTTTTTTTTTTTTTTTTTTTTTTTTTTTTTTTTTTTTTTTGAGACAGTTTCCCTCTTGTTGCCGAGGCTAGAGTGCAGTGGCATGATCTCAGCTCACTGCAACTTCCACCTCCTGGGTGCAAGTGATTCTCCTGCGTCAGCCTCCCAAATAGCTGGGATTACAGGCATGCACCACCATGCCTGGCTAATTTTGTATTTTTAGTAGAAATGGGGTTTCTGTATGTTGATCAGGCTGGTCTTGAACTCCCAACCTCAGGTGATCCGCCTGCCTCAGCCTCCCAAACTGCTGAGATTAGAGGCGTGAGCCACCGCACCCAGCCTCTAATACTCATTCTTTTGATGGAAATGCCCTGCTCATTTCTATTCAGGAAAATACTATTCTTTTTGTAAACCCAAATTCAAAACTTTCTGGCTTCCTGAATCTTTCCCTGATGCCACCTTCCTGTCAAAATTCATGGCTCCTTACAATCCTTCCTTTCTTCTCCTTCGTTTTTTAATTTCTTGTATTGTTTTGTGATGCTTATGTATTTGTCTAGCTCTTCTGCTTAGCCTCTGAAAGTTAGGAGCTATGACTCATTCATCTTTGACCTTTGTATCTCTTTGTATCTCTGGTTAATCCGGTTGAATCTAATGTGTTTGACTCTCAGTAGAGGGATAATCTTTTTTACATCAGTTCCAAAGATGATTACCTTGGCAATACTATAATAATGTGAGCACCAGGTACACTTTTTTTTTTTTTTAAGACAGAGTCTTGCTCTGTCGCCCAGGCTGGAGTGCAGTGGTGCGATCTCTGCTCACTGCAACCTCCGCTTCCCGGGTTCAAACAATTCTCTGGCCTCAGCCTCCTGAGTAGCTGGGACTATAGGCACCCACCACCACGCCTGGCTAATTTTTGTATTTTTCATAGAGATGGGGTTTCACCATGTTGGCCAGGCTGGTCTCAATCTCCTGACCTCAGGTGATCTGCCCGCGTCAGCCTCACAAAGTGCTGGGATTACAGGCATGAACCACTGCGCCTGGCCTAGTCACACTGATTTTAAAAGCAATTTCATATTATGCTCAAAATGATATAAACCTTAACTTTAAAGTTATATCATAATGCTTTTGCTTTCTGTTTAATTTCAGAGTTTGAGGTTTTACTATTTGCTAGTACTTTGGGGAATACAGAAATAGTAAGATATATTCTTTACCTTAATTTGAGAGATATCTGTCTACACTTACCTAAAGTTCAACTTTAAGACCATTCAGGAAAGACTTAACTATAAGATTAGTTCATAACTGTATCAAAACTTTAAATGTTTTGTGTTCCAGATGCCAGCATTAAAGTATTTTCATTAAGCCAGTGTCTAAATTCCAAGCATTTCTAAAATGGCAATGTACAAATTCATTAATCCCAACAACTTTACTACACAGAATTTCTGTTATACAGGAAAAGTTCTTGAAGTCATTAATTTAGTCATTTTTCAGAGAACTGTAGAGAAGACTTCAGGGAAGTCAACTGAAAACAGTTTTCACCCAGTGGAGTTATTTAGTGGTAAACATGAAAATTTTTTTCTCAACTTTTTATTTCAAAATTTTTCAAGTTTACATAATGTTTAAAGATTGGGTCAGCTGGGCACAGTGGCTCACACCTGCAATCCCAGCACTTTGAGAGGCAGAGGTGGGAGGATCGCTTGAGCTCAGGAGACCATCCTAGGCAACATGGCAAAATCCTATCTCTACAAAAAATACAAAAAAAAAAAAAAAAAAAAAAATTTAGCTGGGTGTGTAGCATGTGCCTGTAGTCCCAGCTACCCAGGAAGCTAAGGTGGGAGAATTACTTGAGCCCAGGAGGCAGAGGTTGTAGTGAGTGAGCCGAGATCACACCACTACACTCCAGCCTGGGCGACACAGCAAGAGCCGGTCTCAAAAAAAAAAAGATTAGGTCAGTCAACACAATACAGACTATACCTAGATTCAACAGTTGTTAATATTTTACTGTATTTTCCTTCTCTTTCCCCCACCATCTCTGTCTCTATAAACCCATGTTGTTCTTGAACCATTTGAAAGCAAATTGCAGACCTCAAAGACACTTCACCCCTCAGTATTTCAACAAAAATATTTTTCAGTTACACAGGACTTCTAGGTCACCGTGTTTTTGGTTTAAAAATAAAAAACTGTCATAAACCACTTACAGATGAAATAATCTAAACTCAGAGGATTAGCCGAAGGGTAAGCTGGAATGGTCAGGGGAGGCTTTCTCTCAGCCTCCCCAGAGGAGCTGGCAAGAAGCAGTATGCGCGTTAATGCACAAAATGCTTGTGGAACAAAATGCTTGTGGAATTGAGACCTTTCACTCTTTTTCCTTTGGGAAATAAGATAATGTGAGTGAAAAGGGTAGAATGTTCAGGACAAGAATAAAAGCAATTGTTTTTAGGGTACAATAAGAGAAAGAATTCAGCAAACCTATTCTCCCAAAGATGGTTTGAGAGCCTAGAATGGTGTTGTCATAAAAGCCAATCAATGGAATTTTAAAGGGAGGGAGGTGGTCAATTTCAAAAGTCCATCTAGATATCTTTGTTTTGTTGTCTCTGGAGTTGTTAGGAAAATCCAAATCTCAGAAGATTTATTTTAAAATAAAATGCTAACTGAATTCTTCTACAGAGTGGGGATCTTCCCAAGTTAGCAATTGTGTTCATTGTATTGTAGAACATCAGTAGTGCTATATTGTTATTAATAATGACTGCAAAGAAATGAAATAAACACTAAGTCTTTGCTTATATTTCTAATCATCATAATAGCTCTCTCTTAATAGCTTTCTCTTTTACCAGGTTTCATAATAGCTCTCTCTTTTACCAGGAATTTTTGTGTGGTGGGAAGGGCCTGGATCAGCTAATTCAGAGACTGCTTCAATCAGCAGATGAAGAAGCCGTTGTTGAACTTTTGGATGAACACCTTAAATCAGCAAAATAAATACTGACTTATTATTAATTATGATTATATAAATGAAATGGACCTATATCAAGAGGCAGACTAAGGTTTGGAAATCTTTATGAATATTTGTAAATTACAGCTATAAGAACACATTACACATAAATATGTGTTTTTTAATGAATCGAGGTCACATTTCCTAACCTAAGGATTTATTTTAGGTTTCCTGTAAAGTACGATCCAACTCATCAAGTAGAAAATAAGCATGCATCACTGAAAAGGGAAAGTATTGAGAAGTGATTGTGTGATTTAGGACAGGTCACTTGTTCTCTTTATACGCCTTTTTTCCCTGCCATCTATGAATTAATTTAAGCATATTTTTCATCTACTACTTCAGGAAAATATGGTAAAATTTAGTGAAATATGAATGACAGGCTTACTTATAAACCTTTTATTTAAAGACAAAGTACTTTGGCCTACAGTGGTTGCTTATGCCTATAATCCCAGCACTTTGAAGGGCCAAAAGGGGAAGATTTCTTGAGGCAAGAATTTGATACTAGCCTGGGCAAAATAGACCCCATGTCTACAAAAACATTCAAAACATAAAGAAAAAACATAATACTGTTAATCATGTTAAAGTTAAGACTTAGACTTCAACTTTTAAATAAAAATTATGAAGAATATGAGTCACTCAATAGCAATGAGCATCTAGGTACAGACTGTAAAGCTCTTTGATTACTGTATGAATTCTACACTATATAAACATAAGTTGATATTTTAAATAGACTCTCTGGTTGACTTCCATTTCTTTTTTTTTTTTTTTTACTCCTGGCAAGCTGGAGTAAAAAAGTTACTGTTTGCTGGCTCAACTTAATGAGCATCAACAGACATGGTGTAATACAAGTAATACACTGAGATCAGTTTTGTGCAGCATTATATAAAACCCAGTCCTTACGTTAAAGAGCTTGCAGTTGACTGAAGGATTTAAACATGTAAATCACCAACTAATACAAAGTGACATGATGTATTTAGTAATTGTTCCGAAGAAGTTTCAAGTTAAAAAGAGAGTAATGGCTGGGCATGGTGGCTCATGCCTGTAATCCCAGCACTTTGGGAGGCCGAGGTGGGTAGATGACCTGAGGTCAGGAGTTCAAGACCAGCCTGGTCAACCTGGCGAAACCCCATCTATACAAAAATACAAAAATTAGCTAGGCATGGTGGCAGGTGCCTGTAATCCCAGCTCATCAGGAGGCTGAAGCAGGAGAATCACTTGAACCCAGGAGGCAGAGGTTGCAGTGAGCTGAAATCACACTATTGCACTCCAGCCTGGGCAACAGACCAAGACTCCATCTCAAAAAATTTAAAAAAATAAAATAAAAAGAGAGGAATTATTATTTTAGATACCCCTCAGAGAAGAATTTATATGCCAAGAAAGACTAGCTAGAGTTTTAAGGCCAGTGGAATTGCTTAGGTGTACACATTAGAGATAAACGTTTTCCCTAATTTTTATTTTGAAAATATTCAAGCATAATGAAAAGTCTAAAATAAATAAATTATTTATTGATTTTTGAGATGGAGTCTCACTCGGTCGCCCAGGCTGGAGGGCAGTGGCACGATCTCGGCTCACTGCAACCTCCACCTCCCAGGTTTAAGAAATTCTCTGCACCAGGAACGGTGGCTCACACCTGTAATCCCAGCACTTTTGAGAGGCTGAGGCGGGTGGCTCACGAAGTCAGGAGATCGAGACTATCCTTGCTAACAGATGAAACCCCATCTCTACTAAAAAAAAATACAAAAAGTCAGCCGGGCGTGGCGGCACACACCTGTAGTCTCAGCTACTAGGGAGGCTGAGGCAGGAGAATCACTTGAACCTGGGAGGCAGAGGTTGCAGTGAGGCAAGATTACAGCACTGTACTCCAGCCTGAGAGACAGAGCAAGACTCCGTCTCAAAAAAAAAAAAAAAAAAAAATTCTCTGCCTCAGCCTCCCGAATAGCTGGGATTACAGGTGTGTGCCACCACACCCAGTTAATTTTGTATTTTTAGTAGAGGTGAGGTTTCACCATTTTGACCAGGCTGGTCTTGAACTCCTGACCTCGTGATCCACCCACCTCAGCCTCCCAGAGTGCTGGGATTACAGGTGTGAGCCACCACGCCCAGCCAAATTACTTTTTTAGAGATAAAATGTCACTCTTGCCCAGGCTGGAATGCAGTGGCATGATCATAGCTCACTGCAACCTTGAACTTCTGAGCTCAAGCAATCCTCCCACCTTAGCCTCCCAACTAGCTGGGACTACAGGCAGGCACCATCATGCCCAGATAATTTTTTATTGTTGTAGAGATGGGGTCTTGCTATGTTACGCAGGCTGGTCTTGAACTCTTGGCCTTAAGTGATCCTCCTGCCTCAGCCTTTCAAAGTGCTGGGATTACACATGTGAGCCTTTGTGCCCAGCCACAATAAGTTTTAAGAAATAGTTCAATCAGGAGAGGCCTGAGCAAGATGGCTGAATGTAGAAGCCTTTACCAATCATCCCCCAACGCAGCAACACTGATTTAACAACTATTTACACATACAAAAAGCACCTTTATAAGAACCAGAAATCAGGTAAGCAATCACAGTACCTGATTTTAACTTCATATCACTGAAAGAAGGTAGGAAAGATGGTCTTGAATTGGTAACACTGCTCCTCCCCCATTCCCCTAGCAGCAGCAGGTGCTGCGCCCTTGAGAGACGGAAAGCACAGCAATTGTGGGACCCTGTGTTGAACTCAGTGCTGCCTGGTCACAGCAGAAAGCAAAACTGAGTTAAACTCAGCAGATGCCCATCCACAGAGGGAGCATCTAGACCAGCCCTAGCCAGAGGGGAATTGTCCATCCCAGCAGTCAGAACTTGAGTTTCAGCAAGCCTCAACACTGTGGGCTGAAGTGTTCTAAGGTCCTAAATAAACTTGAAAGGCAGTCTAGGCCACAAGGACTGCAGTTCCTAGGTAAATCCTTCTTCTGTGCTGAGTGCAGAGCCAGTGGACATGGGACACCAGTTGGGTGGCTAAGGAAGTATTGTGCCACCCCTCCCCCAACCCCAGGCAGTGCAGCTCACAGCAACGAAAGCGACTCCTTCCTTCTGCTTGAGGAGAGGAGAGGGAAGAGTAAGGACTTTGTCTTGCGTCTTGGATACCAGCTCAACCACAATAGGACAGGGCACCTGGCAGAATCATGAGGCCCCCATCCCAGGCCCTAGCTCTCAGACAGCATTTCTAGACACACCCTGGGACAGAGGGGAACCCTCTGCCTTGAAGGGAGGTACTCAGTCTTGCAGGTTTCATCACCTGCTGACTAAAGAGCCCATGGGCCCTGAGTAGCCAACAGTGACTCATAGACAGTATGCTGTGGGTCTTGAGTGAGACTCAGACATGCCAGCTTCAGGTATCAGCTTGGCCATAGTGGTTTGGAGCACCAACGGGCTCTTGGGGTCCCCAGGTCCAGGCTCTTCGATAGCATTTCTGGGCCTGCACTGTGCCAGAGGGGAATTCACTACCCTGAAGGGTGAGTTCCAGGCCTGGCAACATTTGTCACAGCTGACCGAAGAGCCCTTGGGCCTTAAGTGAACATTGGTGGTGGTCTGACAGAACTCGCCATGGGTCAGTGGTGGTGGTGGCCACAGGGAGAGGCCCCTCTGCCTGTGGAAAGGGGAGGGAAGAGTGTGAAGGATTTTGTCTTGTGGTTTGGGTGCCAGCTTAGTCACAGTAGAATAAGACACAAGGTAGATTTGTAAGGTTTTTACTGCAGTCCCTGGTTCCCAGACAGCATCTCTGGACCTGCCTGGGGCCTGGGAGAATTCACCATCCTGAAGAGAAGGACACAAGCCTGGCTGGCTTCACCACCTGCTTATTGTAGAGCCTTACAGCCTGTGCAAACATAGGCAGTAGCCAGGTGGTGGTTACAATGGGCTTTGGGCAAGACCCAGTGCTATGCTGATTTCAGGTCTGCCTCAGGGCAGTTCCACTGGTGGTGGCCACATGGGTGTTTGCATCACCTCAGTTCCAGGCAGCTCAGCACAGAGAGACTTTGTTTGGGAGAAAATAAGAAAGAAAACAAGAGTTTCTGCCTGGTAATCCAGAGAATTCTTCCTAATCTTATCCAAGACCACCAAGGTGGGACCTCTATGAGTCTGCAAGAACCATAGCATTACTGAGCTTGGGGCCCTAGTCCCTCTGTATACCTGGAAAATCTTCTCAAGAAGGGCAGGCACAGATTGCAAAGCCCAGATTGCAAAGACTATAATAAATTCCTAACTCTTTATTGCCCAAACATCTACAAGCATCAACACCAGCCAGGAAAACATGATCTCAACAAATGAACTAAATAAGGCACCAGGGACCAATCCCAAAGAAACAGAGATGTGACCTTTCAGACAGAGAATTCAAAATAGCTGTTTTGAGGAAACTCAAAGAAATTTGAGATAATACAGAGAAGAATTTCAGAATTCTATGATGTAAACTTAACAAAGAGATTGAAATAATTAAAAAGAAGCAGAAATTCTAGAGTCGAAAAATGCAACTGACATACTGAAGAATGCATCAGAGTCCAGTCCCTTAATAGCAGAATTGAACAAACAGAAGAATTAGTGAGACTGATAACAATCGATCTGAAAATACACAGAGAAGGCTGAGCGCTGTAGCTCACACCTGTAATCCCAGCACTTTGGGAGGCCAAGGTGGGTGGGCCACCTGCAGTCAGGAGTTCAAGACCAGACTGACCAACATGGTGAAACCCTGCCTCTACTAAAAATACAAAAATTAGCCAGGTGTAGTGGTGCATGCCTGTAATCCCAGCTACTTGGGAAGCTGAGGCAGGAGAATCACCTGAACTTGGGAGGCAGAGGTTGCAGTGAGCCAAGATCTCAACACTGCACTCCAGCCTGGGCAACAAGAGCGAAACTCTGTCTCACACACACACATACACACACACACACACACACACACACACACACACACACACACACACAGAGACAGAAAAAAAATACACAGAGGAGAGGAAAAAAGAATCAGAAAGAATGAAGCACATCTACAAGATCTAGAAAATAGCCTGAAAAGGGCAAATCTTAGGAATGACTGGCCTTAAGGAGGAGATAGAGAAAGAGATGAGGGTAGAAAGTTTCTTCAAACTGATAATATCACAGAACTTCCCAAATCTAGAGGAAGATAACCAATATTCAAGTACAAAAAGGCTATAGAACACCACACCAATCTAACCCAAAGAAGACTACCTCAAAGCATTTAATAACAAAACTTCCAAAGCTCAAGGATAAAGAAAGGATCCTAAAAGCAGCAAGAGAAAAGAAACAACATACAGTGGAGCTCCAGTATGTCTGGCAGCAGACTTTTCAGTGGAAACTGTACAGACCAGAGAGAGAGTGGCATGACATATATAAAGTGCTGAAGGAAAAATCTGTTACTCTAGAATAGTATGTCCAGCAAAAATATCCTTCAAGCATGAAGGAAAAATAAAGACAGAAAAACAAAAGCTGAGCGATTTCATCAACACCAGACCTGTCCTAAAAAAAAGCTAAAGGGAATCCTTCAATCTGAAAGAAAGGAGGTTAATGAGCAATAAGAAATAATCTGGGGCCGGGCACGGTGGTTCATACCTGTAATCCCAGCACTTTGAGAGGCCAAGGTGGGTGGATCACCTGAGGTCAGGAGTTCAAGACCAGCCTAATCAACATGGAGAAACCCCGTCTCTACTAAAAAAATACAAAATTAGCCAGGCGTGGTAGCACATGCC